CATTCGGTTTTCTCTTTCGTTTTTTGGTGTCCATTTTGTTTATTTAATTTTGTTTGATTTTCGTTCGTTTTCCCTTTCGTTTTGTGGTTGTTTGTGTTTTTTTTTTTTATTTGATTTTGTTTTGACTGGAAACTATGGTGGCTATTGATCTTTTTTTTTTTTTTTTTTTTTTTTTTTTTTGTGTTCTTCGAAAATGGATCTTTTAGAAGCACTGATTAGTGTAATTTTGGTATTCTGCAGTAGCTGGTGCTATAATAGAGAGTTATCCATCATCCTTCCTACCCCTTTTTTGAAAAAAATTGTAGGTAGATAAGCTGAAACATAATTTAAACTTCAAAATCTTATTTTAGTTTGATGCACTTGTGTAATATATCTTGTTGTATTTGTAGTTTGATTTTCCAAGCTCTTCATGTGTGTATAGTAACCATTGTTTGTGCACTGTGTATGTGTGCAGTTTAATACACTTCATTGTGCCATCTAAGTTTAGAGTTTTAAAGTTGTTTATAGTGTCTTTTGTGGTTTTGTAAGTCTGTGGGTTTAAATGGTATTATTTTCATGTAATAGATGTGGGGGTGTACGCATATGGGTAGGTTGTTGGTGTTTGGTTTGTTAGTTTGATAGGGTGTGCCTTTTATCACAGTTGAATGTGTACCTTGGTTGAGGTTTATAAAGTTGTTTCCTTCCTGTGTGGTTCGATATGTTGTTTGGTTTATAGTTATTGGCGTGTGTATGTTAGTAGTGTTGTGTGTGCACATGTGATATATGTGTCTGTTCTATGTACATTAAGCAAACAGTGCGCTCCTTGTTAGCTGTGTGCTCTTTAGTAGTGCTACGTGTGCACTTGTTCTGTATATATAATTCTTTTGGGCTCTGACTTCCTCATTACGAATCATGTGCTTTTTGGGTGTTGTTGGTGTAACATATTATACAGGAGAGCAACCTCAGGTTGATGTTGGAGGGCAGTCCGGCACACGCAATTCATCCTAACGGCCCATAAACTTGTTTTCCTTTTTTTTTTTTTTTTTTTTTGGTAAAGTATTTGAACACGTTTTAACACACAGTATAACATATGTGCACACTGAAGTTTATCACAGCAGCTTGGTTATCTTCACGGTTACACCAAATGGCACACACATATCTTCCTAACTGCACACATGCATTTATCAATTTTCATCCACCTTTTTCCCCAAGTGTTCAATTTTGTGGTGTATTTAATTTGCAATGTTTTGTATAGCTCTTTACCCTTTGTCAAAAAGATTTGTTATCTGTGTTCCTTGATGATGTGGTTGATGATCGGTATGGGGGTGTTGTAGGGAGGATTATCCAGATAAGGATGCAGATGCGTTGGTGCAATGCACGTAACAAAGTGGATTGCGGTGTCTTTGCAATGCGGCATATGGAGACCTTTTTGGGTCAATAAGTGAATGCATGGGATTGTGGTTTGCAAACGGTTGATACTAGGGGTCTTGATTTGTT